TTAGTATTTTTCTAAACTGCTGAAAACATTGACCACGTCAGAAGATCCTTATTCTCATGCGATCACTCAAACAGATTGTCTCAAGAAAATGAAACATAACCAAAATCTTTTCTCTTCTTGTAAGTATACTGAAACAATGATGATTCCAGAGTGAGATTAAAATATAACTTTCAGCTAAAAAGAATAATTACAATTCCAGCAATATCTGTCTCGGTTGAATGTGATACAACCCTCCCAACTTTCCAGCTAGAATTTGATGACACAGGAGAGCTAGAACCATCTGGTGTTAGATCTTGATAGTACTTGGACAAAGTTTTGTAACCCATGTCTCCAAGATTAAGTAACCCGGAAGCTAACTGTTTACTAGATTCCATTGCATATCGAGCCATCAGACTTCCACTACTTGGCGAAGTTGATGGACTTACACCAGGTGGAGTAAGACTTTGAGGACTGAGGCGGCCTGTGTTTGACATCAGAGGGTTGTTGGAAGCATAAGCCAACCACCTGGGACCAACAGCCATGGGACCATACCCGATATTGACCCCAACCAGTCCTTGAACTCCCAACTGGGGGACAGGATAAGTAAGGACACTGAATTTGTTCTCAAGGGTGACAGCATCGAAGCAGTATATCTGCCAGAAAAATTAGAAAACATAAGGGACTTAAAGACATGTTTGAATACTTCATTACCTATTTAGTAATAATAATTATATAACATTCATATTTAAATGATGTAGCTTCCCCAGTGAATGAGTGAAACCAGTAGCCTGCAACCATCCAGTCTAATTCTTCTGATTTGTTACACAGGAACATGGTGACTTCCACAAACACGCACACACCCAGAAAACATCTAAGTTATTCAGCCTCTTACAGTTTGCTGGAAAAACAATTCATTCCTAAATGCGTATAAAAACAGTGAAAACATGGGATACGCAATGCTTACTTGTGATGCAAGACCCACAGCTACTACTTGAGGACTGCATCTAACCATATACACAGTTGAACGGAATCTTAGAACATGAACATAACTACAAGACCTTAGCGAATAAAACCGAACAGCTGTAGGAGACAAAGCAGAGTTTCCTGTTTGGGGCTCAGAATGACCATTGGCCAACCCATCTCTCCCTGTTTGCATCATACCTGAGCTCTTTTCATCACATGCAACAACCATGAGTATAGGATGTGAGGATCTGAATCCTTCATGACCCTCACACTTTGCAGGCAGGGGCTGCATCTGTAAAAATGTAACTGGATCATCATGCCTTGAGACAAGTTCACTGAAATTAGAGGCATCTTCAACATCAAGGACTTGAAATCCATTGGAATAACCAAGTAGCAGAACATGTTTGAAGGAAGATGGACCAAGCTCTACTTTGTCGAAGCAAGCCCACAACACCTGTTTGCCACAATAAGTTAAATCACACTGATACATCTTTCTCAACAAAAAAAAAAAAAAAAAAAAAGAATCACACTGATACATGTAATAACAGTGTAAAGAAGTTAATGGAACCCGTTAAATCAATTGCACTTCACAATCAAAAGGAAAACAAAGGATTTGGCTGTAGAAAATGTTGAATGTGTACATAATGCCCCTTAAAAAAAATAATTACTTTTAAGCAACGAGATGCTAAAGCATCTTCAAAATAATTCTGTGACTCACAATTTTTCAACCACTCACAGCTCAAATCTATTCAACCATCTCAGAGCACGAAACACATACAATTAAATTCTCAGTTGATTGCTGAATTTGGGCATAAAATACCCCTCCGATTTCTTACGCGTATATGCTACTTCTGAAATGGTAATGATCCAATGGACATTAATTGGATTCTTCTTTGAAGAACATCAAAACCTCAAGACAGTGTACTTAATTATGTTACACCATATACTTCACTAATTATACGATTATCAATTTGATCACTTCAGTAAGTTATGATGATTGCAATCTTCCAAAGTTGATATCATCAGTCCACATTCTTAAATTTCATATTAATACGCATCATAAAATTGGTCATATTTCAACTTCTACATTAATTAATTAACCAGGACTTCATTAATTCCACCCCTCCTCAGACTACTAAACTAGTTGAAAACATTACTTCTTACAAAAACAACCCTGCTCAACAAAGCATGTACAAACTTCAGAAAATTCAAATTTTTAGAGCCAAAAATCCAGACCGGTCGAAAAATTCAAACTTCCCCTCACATTTCACATCTTTGTCCTGAACTTTTCTCAGCCGCCAAGCACAAAGCCCGAACTCTTCATTTCACTCTCTGTCACTCGTTTTCCTCACTAACCAGAACGGACTAAAATTTCACCCACATTAACTCACAAGTTCACAACCAAAACAAAACAAAAATTCAAAACTCCGTAAACTTTCAAATTTCTATGTTTTCTCCCCCAAATTTAGTAAGTTTCACTTTCAATCCCACTCTCCAATTTTCCGTGCAACCAAACAAAAATCAACCAAAATTCCACACAAAGCAATCGCTAATCCTATAATCGTATTCCAAAAGCATCATAATCAAGAAACATACGAAAATAAATGAAATTCTAAATTAAAAAAAATAAAATTAAACCTGGTCTCGGCAATCGTGAGAATCGACGGAGATGGAGGCTGCGACGGAGGCGGCGCCCGACCTTACGCCGGAAGATGCAGTTTTAATGCAAGAAGAAATGAATTTGAGAGAATTCGGAAGGAAGCCATTGTTATTGGCGTGTTGATGATGATTACTCTGAACAACCTTGGTGCCGCCGTTTCGGTTCTTCTTCATAGTCAAGCAACAAGTCCCGGGAGAATGCAACCGGCCACCGGAGATTCACCTGAAGGAGAGGTCCCCACCGCCGAGGGAAGTCGCCGACTTACTGCGATCACCAATAGCATAAAAGATAGTCCGGTGCAGCAGCAGGGGCGGGGAACGACTTCGTTTATGGTGGTTCCGGTGGCGGTGCCCGCGGTGGTTGGATTTTGACCTGGAAACGGAGACGGTTCGTTTCGTTCGCTTTGATTTTCTGTCCCCCTCTCTGGCTTTTTAATTTTTTTAAATTTTTTAATTTGCTTTTGGAGTCCGTCTTGTGTGTGTTGCTTGGTGTTAATTGCACAGTATGCTAACTCGGGAAATGTCAATTTGTCCCGCTGGGATTTGGATAATTTCGCCGGCACCCCTGCAAATTTAATGCGAAATGAAAATTATTTACCTGACTTTACGATTTTGCCCTCACGCGCTTTCTTACCCAAAACGCAAAAGGAGATGATAAGGTATAAATGAAGAGATTCTCGAGTATCGTACCATTATTGTTACGGTGTCACGTGTTTTTAGAACAAGTTACAATGTCACGTGTTGTTATAATTATTTAAGATTTATTACGTCATCGACTTGTGATAAGATTATATATACGAATAAATACGAGGATTTGTTTGTAAGTGTTTTTAAAATAATTGAAATCAATTATTAATAAAAAGAACTTAAAATATTTTTGGAACCCAAGATCAATTTCACCAAAAACGTTTTTCTGTCTTTTAAAAAGCACTCCCAAACAAGTCTGAATTATGAGTATCCCTTAATTTTGGAAGATGTTCCTCGTCGGATCCTTTTCCTAGGGATCTTAGGGATCTCGTGATGGTGATCGGGACCGTTCATCATACATCGTACGGTCAGTTTTCATTAGGTACTATTTATATTTAGTTTTAAATTTTAAATTTTGAAATGATCTCAGACCGCATAATGTACAATGAACGATCATGGGATCCCTATGATTCCCTGAAAAAAGATCTTGTTTGATTTGGTACATTATCTCTTACACGTTTATATATATTTTTTTCCGATATTTTTTATTTATTTGCTCGTAATAACATAAAAATACAAATATTACTTTTTTTGGTTAAACAACGAGGCTAAACAGCCCAAAACAAAAGAACAAAAGAAAACTAGCCTGATTCTGTTCTATACAAATGATTCTCTATCTTGAACAGAGACTCGACTTAGCCAACCTAAATTCGAATATTACTTTGATTGGTGGATTAAATAGAGTATGCATATTACTTTTATTACTTTTATTCTTGAACATAAAATTTGAGTAAATTTACTTGTCAACTTATCATATGGTTGGATCTGGAGTGGGTAGCCTGCACATTATGGTGGTCAAAATAGTCTTTTTGCATCCTATTTGAAGCATTAATTTTTTTTTTGGGGGGTGGGGTGGGGCCCTCTGAATTGTAGGCTTAACGTGAGGGATAAAATAATTTGAAAAATAGGGGGACATTGGTTACTTTACGACAAGGAACGAGAATATCTTAAGCCGAGACGCCGAACCATTACACTTTACACGTTTGTTTTTCTATTTTTCTATTTTTCTTTATTTTTGAACAAAATGAGTCTCGGATGCGGACTTCTATGAAATCGAGACGTGATTTTTTATGTATCGGAAGCTTAGTAATAATGTAGTTCAAATTTAACTTTGACGGGAATCAAACGTAAAACATCTCTTACCAGTAAAAAAGAATACTATTAGACCGTAGTAGTAATTGAATACATAAAAATTAGTTGAAAATTTAAAAAAATGCGAAAATACATCTAGATAAGAAATTGTGTCTAGATTGTATTGGGTCAGGCCGTTTATGGTAACCCAATTATATTTGGAGGAGGATTCTCTATCCTCCTAATCTCTCTACCCTTTCATGCCCTCCTATTTGAACGGTCACGGTTAAGTCATATTAACATTTTTTATTAATTTTTTTATAGAGATAATAAGACAAAAAATAACGTGTGAGAAGAGGAGATGGAATGAGATGAGAATAGAAGGGTAAAGAATCCTCCTCCATTATATTTTAGATATGGTGCATGTTTAACGACCCACAAACAAAAGTGAAAATGTTTTTTATCAAAAGTCCATTATAGTTTGCGGGTTTGGCCAGTTGATTAGGACAATATACTCGCCTCTATTCCAAACTGCATTCACGTAAATCAGAGTAGTTCAATGTTGACCTCATTCAGGAGAGTTGAAGAACCCATGAAGTTGAAATTTTTCTTCCAAAAGTCCAAACAAAAGTAATTCTCAAGCAGACATATAACAGGAAATTCTTTATACGTGCAGTTTAAACAAGTACATCCTGGGGTTTTCATATTTCGCGCATCCGACTTGAACTTGCAATGCAGTTGTGCATACTTGATCATTTTCGGGGCCATCAGAAACATGCCGGTGATGCTGTTTTTCGACATAAATGGCTAGCAGCACTGTTCTCAATCACTTTCTCGATTTCCATGGGGATTGCAAGCACCCCGGAAACTGATAAGTCTATGAGAGCAGCTAGAATTAACATTGTTTAAATGTTCTATCCGCCTATCTCAAGAACCAAAAGCGACCTGCTTGTGTCGGTTGAGATCGCCCAGATACTTTGTTGAATTGTACTCTTGTGCATCCAGTAGTTCTTCCGAGTATGTTCTTTGTATGGACCTCCTTTTCGACTCTTTTGCACATTTGGATACGTATTCATCGCCTCTCAGCAGCACCACAACCTGCACCAAACCAAAACACGTCATCATCCCGCTATCCATGCATCTCAAACATTGTAGCGATACTAGGAGGCTGAACTTCATGAAACAAGGTAACTCAGAAAAATAATGGGATATCAGTCTGAAATTTTTACGTGCCTGACTCATGCGAGGACGTAGAATAGAAGACTGCTCGATGCATAAAGCCGCTGTCAAAATCATGTGATCCATCTCTTTCTGGTCATAGTTGTCGCCAATATTAGGATCAACAAGCTCCTTGATCTCATTGTTATCAAGCAAAGGCTTTGCCTACAACGGAGTAAAAAATTACATCCAGCTAAGTGCTTGTATATATCGACAACAATAGATGTTATTTTTCTAATTATGCAGAAGCAAACTTACCCAAAGAACAAGGCTGTTCTGAAGATCATCCAAAGCTGGACGCCCGGTTATAAGCTCCAAGAGTAGGACTCCAAAAGAATAAACATCGGTTTTTTCATCTACTATTCCATGCATGAAATACTCGGGAGCAAAATACCTGCCATTTAAGGGTACAAAATGAAGATTTGAAATATAAAGAGAGTAATTTATAGGAAATGAAACAGTTTACATCACATACCCGAATGTGCCTTCAGATTTAGAGACATTGTGATGAGTCCATTGTTTGGGGAGCCACTTTGCAAGCCCGAAATCACATATCTAGCATGAATTGGCTATACTAATCAGTAAGTTGATTATATAGAGAAACGAAAAGGACACCTAGTTTGGGTCCGTGTGCGGTCAGCAATTAGCATACGAGAAGGCCAATATGATTCATATATAGTGGTGTCAATTTCTCTTTGTCAATATGAAAGAGGCAAACAGAGCGAACTCCAAGAGGAAAAGATGTAAAACACAGTCTGTGTTAGCATAATAAGAAACACCAGACAGAGCCTGAGTAAGCAAGCTAATGAAAGCTCGACAAAGTATTATGTGCTTTTGTGTGCTTAGAACAGAGCAAATAAGTATCGAGATTCCTTAAAATTCTTTATGATTATACATTTGAAAGCATATCCTTAATCTTGTGACCTTATTTATCTCATGACTGTAAAGTTCACCCTTGGCTAGGCTTATACATTTGAAAGCATATCTAACTATAATATGTAGCTAAACTTGTTAGCATATTGTAAACTCTACAAAATAAACCGGGAAATTGGAAATCGGAAGTTTTTCAGGTTTCAATGTTTGAGTAATTTTAGTTGTGAAACTTGGAAAATACCTGAGGCACAAAATCCTCTGTGAGCAGAATATTATCGGCTTTGATATCTCTATGAATGATTCGCCTTTGGCAACTCTCATGAAGGTATAGCAGACCATCTGCTGTCCCCAAAGCAATTTTGTATCTTTTACTCCAATCAAGTTTGTTAGCCTTCGGACCTGGAATATGCAGATGACTTAAAAACAAAACGCATAAACCGATAAGCAGTTTAAAACTAAGAACAGGAATCCACTGATCATGCACATACTGTGCAGGAGCGATCCTAAACTCCCAAGTGAAGATAATTCAAAAACGAGGTACATTCCTCCTTCAACGCAACATCCAATTAACTTAGCGGCATTAGGATGATCAACATGAGCTATAATGCCAAGTTCAGATAGAAAGCCTGCTGTTTTCTCATCTGCTGTTCCTTTCGTCAGCCGCTTGACTGCTATTAGCTGCCCACTTTTCAAACAACCCCTGTAAACTTCTGAATAACCACCCTTTCCAATTTGGTTTTCTGCAAGAAATAGGAACCACGGAAAAAATGTCATAATCAAAATGAAATTAAAATTTCCCCAGTTTTGCGAATTCTGCGATTAATGGTAAACATATGAGTCCAAATATCGGAATTGGATAGTAGGTCTTAATATCTGGAGGTAGTTACTGACCACTGTTAAAATTATCGGTCGCCTTTTGGAGCTCAGAGCTGGTAAAGTTCACCAACGAAGACTTGAAGTTGTATATATTAGTTAATGCTGGATCCTCTCTTGCACTCCTGATTCTTCTTCGTGATGATATCTTCGGCACACCAAGCGGAGGGAAGGAGGCTAAGCGCTTAAGCGATCTTTTACTCCATTGTTTAAAGAACTTGCGCCAGTGAGAAAGTGAATTCGAACTTGAACAACGCACTGATGACTCACTCGTGCCATTTTCAGTCGTGCTGTTTTCGGAAGTACTAGTCTCGGATTCAAAGCCTCTCACGCAAGCTTCTAAAACTCCTCTAGGAGTTTGGACATCCTCCTTCTCTTTTTCTATGTCGTTATACCTCAAATCTACAAACAAGAAACCGAGCATTACGACGTAAGAATTAGAACACGAAAACAGATAATTAAACATCTCAAATCACGAGAACAGATAATTAAACATCTCAAATCTACAAGGTCTACCTTGGGCAGAAGCAGAAGTAAGTAGAACTTTCTGTTTTCTCTGTTTCACCTTAGAAATCTCATTTGGGACCTTCAGTGACAAGTTTTCGGTTTCCTTTCCAGCTCCCCTGGATAGAAATTAACAAAAATATTGGCAAAAAAATCTGAATTCACGATAAACGACGGACTTAAAAGGCTAAGAAATCCCCTCAAAGATTATATTTCCATATATATCATAAACCTTTTTGTTAAGGTAATAAAAGTTTACCAACTTCCTCAAATGCCGAAAAGGTAAAAACTTTAGACCATTCATTGCCATTGCTTGCACAGAGATTGAAAGTCCATAGAACCCATTTGCTTAAAAACTCAAACAAACACAGAAAAAGTACGTATATACACACACAGATATATATACAACAATCAAGCCTTATCCCACTAAGTGGAGTCGGTTGAATCGTAGGACGCGCTCCGCTCGATTTTGCGCCAAGGCTTCCGTTATTTAAAACAGCCATATACATTTATGCAAGTATAACATTGAAAACCAAAAAAACCCACCACAACAATCAATAGAAAAGATCAGAAGAAAATTCTAAAAAAAAATAAAAATTCTATCTCGGATGCAGCAAAAACCAAACTTTTTCACATTGGCATACAAAATCCACAAACCCCAGAAGTTCCGCTCAATATCATCAAAAAGATAATTTTGAAATAAATAAAAGTAAAAACACAGGAAAAAAAAAACCAAATGAGGGAACATGAAGGAGAAAGCAGGCATACCATGAACAATAAGGTCCTTGCACTTCACCATTCGCCATCAACACTCCCACCAGATACACAGAGAGTGCTGCTTTCTTCAACAAAGGAGGCCCTGCAAATTTATAAACCAATATCTCTGCTTTCTTCAACAAAGGAGACCCTGCAAATTTATAAACCAATCTCTCTGATCTTTTAAGCTATAAAAATCTGGTTGTTGCTATCCATATTGATAAAGAAAGGAATCCAGAAGCTAAATGTTTGAACAGAGTCTCATCTCATTCTCTCTCTCTCTCTCTCTCTCTCTCTCTCTCTCTCTCTCTCTCTCTCTCTCTCTCTCTCTCCTGTTTGACACTGTATGGTTTTCGGTTTCAATGTGTTTTTTGCATCGTTCCGAAACAGTCGCTGCTGTGTCGAACTGGGTTACTGACAAGTGTTGAGATTTCGACAGCGAATTCTGCTCACAACCTTAAATCCAAGTGAGAAACTTTCAGACACGCAGAGAGAGAGAGAGAGAGAGAGAGAGAGAGGACGTTGGTCGTGGTGTTAATAAAACATTTTTTGGGGTTTTGCGCAGAATTTATTATAAAGGCCTTGGTTTCTGAGATATCTCCACTATTGCACAATTAAGATGCCAAAGTTTTCAATTTAGGGGGCTTCGTAATTTGTTTTTTCAGTTTTGACCAAAAATATTTGAAATTTATATTGAGAAATGGTAAGGATATTCTATAAAGAGGGGGATGAACTCTCTGCCGCTTCATGTTTATGACACAATGTTTATAATGTTGGTAGAAAAATTGACGTTAAATTGTTAGGTACCAGAGAATCCATAGAGAATCACATTTGCAGAGAGCCCCTTAACATTTCTCTTTATGCATTTCTTGTTATTCATTCCATACACAAACTTTTATGTTTTGGTAACATTACCTAGATGAAGGGGAAGAATTCTAAATATTCCTATAAGTTACATAAATAGATTGATATATTATAATTGGGGTAAAAATTATACCAATTGATTTGGACTTCTATAATTGTTCTCGAGAAATTTATTCATGGACTTCTCGATGTGCTTTTCCACTTATGTTGGAGAGAACAAACACTATCTCTAATAGTATTCTACTAACGCTTTTTATATTAGCACCCCACAAAATGTTGAATGCATCCCACAATAAAATTTAATATTAATGACTAATTTATTCTACTATGTAATGACAATTTTGACCTTATTAGGTTTAAAAAATAAAAAATAAAATTTAAATACACCACAAATCATTTTAACGTATTATTTATCGTTTCAACTATCAAAACCCCTCTCATTCTCCATTGTTGAATAAAACCCTAAGCAATGAAACTACATACATGTTGATTGAGAAAAATAATTTTTGACAAATGGAACACGAAATCGGTGTTTCGAAAGCTTTGAAATCATTATTATTGTTATTGAAAAACGTTCAAATGAACCTAAATATTTTTTGAAATCATTCGGCAAACTAACATTCAGATAGTTTGAAATCATTTGGCAAAATAAAAATGAGTGTTATAAGATTTGAGAAATGTGGGGTGTGTGTAGAAAATATAATGTGTATATTAAGAATGTGGGGTGTGAGGGTATTATGGGGAAGGAAGTGGGGTGTATTAAGATAGTTTTTAATTGAAAAAGTAAATGTGGGGTATATTAAGTATGTGAGGTTTATTCAACAATTTGTGGGGTGCTAATATAATAAGCCTTCTACTAAACAGAAAAGTGTTTGAGTTGAGCGCCTTATACTTGACACGTGTTGAACAACCTTAGTATCAGTTTTGGGCAATTTTTTTTATTTGAATGTAGTCGCTTCTTATTAAATGACAAATTTGTTGACGACTAAAAAACAATACAAATTAAAAGAAAGACAAGGAAGTTGATGATTGAATTATTACTTTGCTGTTATTAACATGCTTATTTTCTTATTCGTAATACATCATTTAATTTGCAAATTTAGTCTACCTAATGTTACCCAACACTAATTTCAAATTAGAGAAGAGAAAGAAGTATGGATACAAATAATGAAAAAAAAAAATTAATCAAATTTAAAAAGTTTGTAGCTCAATTTGATTAGAAGTATTTGCCGATGGCCTTATATTATTGCTTCCCTCTTCCCACCATTGTTTGTATAAAAACCAAATAGGAAGGGTTGGTTTGATTGTAATTTTTTTTTCTCTTTAAATTGACCCATGAATATGCAAAATACAATTTTAAGACGGCAATTTATTTATTTTTTGAGATGCACTAACATATAAATGGTATGTGCTCACCAACTTTAAGCATAAACATAATTAAAATTACCTCTTTAATACTAGAAATTAAAAGACCAAGCAGTTATGAGTTCAATGGAAATTACATCTTTAATTTGCAATCACCTAGAAAACAAGATTAATTAGATAAATAAATTTTCTTTTGGAATTAAAGGTACGCTATATTATGAAAGTTTTGATTACACTAGGGGATTGGGAGTATATAGAGAAAAAAACAAGGGCTATTGAGCAAAAGAAATATGATCCCCAATGTAAAGGGAGTGAGAGACCCCAAAACGACATAATATGAGATTATGGAAGAATGTTGTGTTGTCCCATTGCAAGACAACCCCAATAGGGTCAATAAAATAATACTTCGTGACCTACACGAAATATAATAATATTCATTCTTTACGAAGAGGCAGAGAAGAGGCGGTGTCCGAAAGCAGAATGACTTACATGACATGTAAGTACATAAGTTTTTATTTATATAAATATTGTATCATAGACCGAAAGTAAATTATTTCTATGTATGTAATGCAAGCTGTTCTTATTGTTGATGTAAAGTGTAAACTCATGTACCAATGCATATTACTTATAGGATAATGGTAGAAAAATCAAAATTTAACTAAATTTACAAATCAAATGATGTGTGATCAATAAGAAATAATCATATTAATCAACACTTAAGTAACAATCAAATGATCAACGTCCACATCATTTGGTTTACAAAATTTAGTTTAAAAATTTGGTCTCTCTAGTATTACTCTTACTTGTATTAGTGAAAGTGAAATGAAGAATAATTAAAATATTGCATGGCATTGAAGAGAGAACATAGTGCAGAGAAATTTTTCAGTACGCTAAAAATATGATTTGGTATACCAAGTGTCATAGTGCAAGTGGTTAAAATTTTGTTTCTAAGCTTTCAATCACTTGTATTAAGACACTTAATATACCAGATCATGTTTCCAACGCATTAAAAAATCTCCCATAATATGAGATTATGTTGGTGCATATCTGTTAGGTATGGTATGGTCCGAATAGTGAAATCAGATTAAGAAATGGACCCTGATAGGGCGGTTGGCAGATGTGTTTGGTCTGAGTCATGGTTCTATATGAATGATGGATTTATGCTTCTGGCCATGGAGATGTAGACTTTCAAGCTAAACAAATTAATTTTGTTGTTGCTTGATCTGATGGTCGATCTGATACAACAACAACAACAACAAAGCCTTTTCCCACTAAGTGGGGTCGGCTATATGGTCGATCTGATAAAAAAAAAAAAAAAAAAAAAAGATCTGATGGTCGACCCTATAAGCACATCAAGTGGACAACTAGTGTAAATGTTATACCACCGGGTATGCTAGCATCAGTTGCATGTGGGAATGTCACACACGATTGAACTATAGTATATTCTGTTGTATCTTACTTAGCTCTTTATTTGTAATGAGTTATTACTTCTTAACCGCACACGTATGCAAGGTAACTCGTTAAAACACTAAAAATAAAAGTTTATAAACATGTGTCAAATTATAATTTGTGGACAAAGAGGAATAACTCACTATATAAGAAGCCAAATATTTTTTTCTTAGGGATAGAAGCAGTTTCAAGGCTAGCCAAGTTAGGTAGCTAATGCAATGTGTCACATCTGTCTTCAAGTTTGAATCACAAAATTGAAATGTTATTAGAATGTAAATCTTATTAGCCTATATTGATTGACACAAGTAAATAACTAACCTGGAGACACCGTGAAGTAAAAATTAGTATGCATAGTCTTTTTCTTCCTTCTCTGTGACTTCTATTCCAAAACATAAGACGCCTCTCCGATGTTTTTCAACTCAAATTTATTAGACAAGAAAAGTTTGTCTCATGGAGTGGGGTAAGATTAATGGTAGCTAGAAAAATGTATTCTTCATAGAGGACCAAGACGAAGTTCCTCCCACTTAATTTAAGATATGTGTACTCATTGGACGGATTTTCTATGAAACCAAAAATTTGTATAACTTGATCAAATTTCATGTACATTGTCTTGAGGCTTGTTTCAAACCATAAATGGATTTCTTGAGCTTACACACCAAATTCTCTCTCCCTTACTAAATGAACCCTTCAAATGGCTTCATTGAAATTTCTTCATCTAAATTGCCATTTAAGAATGCAGTTTCATGTAACAAAAGTTGAATTGAGCTACAAGTGCCCCCTAAATGAATCTTTGGTAGATTCTGGAAAAAAATATTTTAGTGCAGTCAATTCAATTCCTTCATTTTGAGTGAAACCCTTAACCACTAATCTAACCTTATATCCCTTTAAGTCTTCCTTAGAATATTTTTGATTTTGAATATAGCCTTGCACCCTTTTAGTAATTGAACCAACTCCCAAACTCCGTTCTTACGCATTGATTCAAGCTCATATTTCATGGATTTCAACCACTCTTCACTTTGAGAACTAATTATGACTTCTTTATATGTAAGAGCACTTCCATCGGGGTGCAAATGTGCTAGCACCCAGTCAAAAAACCAAGCTGGGGGTCAATCCATTCACTCCAGCCCATAAACTTGCCAGGCACCCAGCCCAAGAAAGGCAATAGACCAGCCCATTTTTTACATATCCAGAGACCGGCCTATTTGGCTGGCGTGTGCAGTTCACTCGTGAGTGGGCGCGAGTAGGAGACATGGGTGTAGGCGGCGAGGCCCGTTGTCAGCCCACTTGTTCTTCACCTGGAAGTAGGCGATGTGGCCCTTTCAGTGTCGTTGGATTTCCAACGGTAAAAAAATTTTAAATTTTACTTTTACAATGGACTGTCCGATCATAGATCAACGGTCCACCTTTTTTTCCTCAAAAATAAAAATAAAAATAAAAAGGCCCAACAGTCAAAATTATGATCATTGGCCACGTGGTAGCTCCTTGGCTCTTAGATTTGAATATTTTTCAAATCCAACGGTCCAAATTAATTAACTACATTAAAATTTATTAAAAATTATGAAAAAATACAGAAATTTTTTAAATAAATTAATTTTTTTCTATAAATACCTAACCCTCATCTTCCACCTTACACCACCCTTCAATATTTTCTACACTTTCTACATTTCAATATTTTTTACACTCTGAGAGAAAAAAATGTCTACATGGAAGCTCATTCAAGATGTTACATTGTGTGAATGTTGGGTTCACACAACTCATGACCCGATTATGGGTAATGATATGGATAAGCGAGAAATGTGGAG